GATTAAAAAACAACAGTCTGCTGTGTTTCTCGAGCTCTGTGAAACTGTTTGTTAACTAATGTTCTCTAACAAAAGTTCTGAGGTCTTCATAGAATCGCTGGAGTCCATGTAGGAGTATATGGCTTGGTTTGCCTGGGATTTTATTTAGGGGTACTAAAGTACTTGGACCTACTATGTGCAGGATTTTTAGATTTTTATTTGCGAAAAACAGTTAAAAGTCATGAATCATTGCACGGTCAGGCACTGGTTTGTTTATTACGTATAATCCAAAAGAAACATATTAACGTTAGTTATTGCAATACAACAAAATATGACAAAACTAAAGTGTAGCACACTTTCGCAAGGGAGTACCTAAATAGCAAGAATTTAAAAAAAAAAGCAAAAATAAATTCTAAAGTGCCCGCTGCGCCATCTGACCAAGCCAACCGTGACAATATGTCATCCCAGCGCCTTGTCTGTTGAAGGTTTTTTCGTTGTAGACCACTTGGTGTGAAACAAATTATGGAGGGGGAAAAAAACAGAAGAAAGTGCAGATTTGACCTTTAGGGGACCTAGTGTCAGTTTAATTTAGGCTTCTTCTGTAAATCACTTAATATGATGCAAACTAATAAACAATCGGTGCTTTACCATCAGAAGCATACTTTATTGCACATTATACGGTTTTCAAACTGGATTTCTACTTGTAATTTTAAGTACACACAATCACCCACTCCCTCTAATATTAGCAAGACTGTGAATTTAGTTCCTTTAAATATTTGCCAAGACAAGCATTCACACTCCTGTGTGTGTGTGTGCGTGTGTGCGTGTGTGTGCATCTGTCTATGTGGATAAATGGTGATTGGCGTGTGGCTGAAAGTGGGTGGTGTGGAGTGATTAATCAGCGTAATGAGTGTAGATGAGCACTGTGCAGATGGAGCCCACACTCAGGACTGTGTCACCCAGCAGGGGGTCTCTTTGCTCCCTTTCTGAACCTCTCTATAGTTTTAACTATGGCTGTAGCTGCATTTCATTGGCATGTGCCGCTTCCTTCCCCTGCCTAATTCGCGAGCTCATTTCAGCGTGATTCACATTTATAATCAGCTAATTCTTCTCTGAAAACCTATGTATACAATTAGTGGTATTTCTATGTAAATATAAATTACTCCCGTTAGCTTGGCTGCTTTCTCCTGCCAAAAATTATATTACAATGCTGTGTGTTGCCACAGATTTCAACCTTCAGGTAAAGCACATGAATGCGTTCAAAAATATCACATAATTCATGCTGTGCCTTTGAATCGCACCATGGAGTTATGGATGCAATATATTTTTGACTCGACTTAAAGCAATTTACAGTGTTCCTCCAGATTGAAACACATAGATGGATGGTATCGTCCAGCCATCACACCGTCTAGGAAGGTTCTGTGTCTCAGAGTTGGTATCAGATTTGTACATCCACCCCAGAATAAAGACAAAATACATTTTGAAAAAAATCGCAGGAGCCTGATTAGAACATGTCGTTATCCACACTGATACAAGCCCTAAAATGTCTCCTGATGCGGAAGAACTGATTACTCCAAATTAGGGTAACACTGGACAAAGATCATCAGTAAGGAAATCAGGTCCATCTATTCCGGTTTTAAAAGACATAAACTGAAGGAGTTAGGTTCAGTTAAAACAAGTCCATAATTTGTTTGGATATTGCAAATTTGACAATTGAAATAAATTCAGGTTTACCTCTAATGAAACATGTTGTGTCTTCACAAACGTGCCAAAAATGCATTTAGAATGTATTTTATGAAAAATACAAACTATGCAACATAAAATTTGACACGAGTGCAGCTGAATAAGACGATGGAGGCTGACACTGATGTTTGAAAATACATGTGTCTTAAATAATACAGCATCATAGTCTAATTACAATACTAACCATTATGAGAGAACAATGAAGGCCTTTTAGGAGCTAACAGAACACATATGGCTACGTATTAGAAAAAAAAAAAATTAACAAAATTCCTCAGATGGCATCGTTGCCATACATACAAAAAGGCAGACATTTTCCTCATGCCTGGTCCTTCTGCACTGATTAGCGAACTCGTGCGGGCCTCCCACATCCCTCTGGACTTTGTGACATTAGGTTTTTTCCACATTCTTTTGCTGACTCAATCACTTGCTCTCATAAGTCCCATGGAGCCTTTCGCTTTGTTAGAGGCTTCGCTGCCCTGATTCACATTTATTAAAGAGGGAAATGGGGGATGTGAAGGCAACAATGGAAAGTCTCCCAAAGTGGTTTGAATGTGGAAACAGTTATTTTGTGTGACAATAGTTAGACACCAGTAATACCGGGGCCGTTTACTTGTTTCTAGACGTAGGATTTAGGTTAAATTACTATTTTACAGTGACTTAAGATCTGCCATGGCATCTTCCCTTTAATGCCGAAGATGCTGGTAAAGATAAAGTTCAGGGACTCATTAGGTTGTGTTCTGGGAAGGTCAATCTTTATACATTCAGCTGGTAGAATAATTCAAATAAATTGTTATTAATGGCTGATTACATACTATTCTCCTACTTCAATCTGTATCTTATCTTGTGTGTTTCTTTGTAAATTTAAATAATTGTTTTTATCTTAAAACATAAAATATTTCATTTTTCTCATCTGTATTTCTTTAAATTACAATTTCAGCTGCACATGAAGGTTTGCCAATTACAATGTTTTACATGTAAACAATGATTTTTGCTGAATTAGACTTTTTTTTTTTACTTAAAATTAAAAAAATAACACTGCAAGGCGTTAATATTTTTCTCATTATTATATAATTTAGAAACATAGCAGGTTAGCATCTATAACAGAAAGACTCCAGAGTGAGTGGTGTTGAATGCTATCAGTAGTCTGATCAGGTCGGTGTAATGGCAGCTGTTTGATGGTGTGAACGTGATGGAGGGGGCTATTTATCTGGTGCTATGTCCAACAAGAGGCCAGGTGGGGATTGACTGGTGACACAGCTCTCCTGCTAGGAGATATAGACCACAGAAAAAAAAAAAGTTAAAGATGGAAAAAGTTCAACACCTTAACTTCCTTTCTCTTTCACAAAGAGAGGATGGGACCACTCTGTGCTTTTATGCTGATTACGTATATCCTGAAAATCACCTTTTTAGATCCCCGACAAAATATATTGTTTCTTCAACTTATACTGGTGGGTACAGGATTGGTGCACATTTTACCACATGCCAAAAAAAAAAAAAAATACTTTTTCTTTCCTAAAAAAGGAGTTTTGGAGCTTTTCTGATCCATTTTAGATAATAAATACAAAGGTTTATGATGGATGAAAGGAATGTAGTAAGGAACTAACGAGGTAGCAAAGAAAAGAACAAATAAAATAACGGAATGAAGAAAGGAATGAATGAAATAAGGAACAGAGGAAGGAAGCAACTAAGAAAAGAACAAAACAGGAATGAAGAAAGGAACAAAGAAAGAAAACAAAGTAAGGAAGGACTGGATAAAGGAAGAATGAAATAAGGAATGAATTAGCAACAAAGAAAAGATAAAAATAAGGAATGAAGCAAAGAAAGGAAGTAAAAAAGCAATGAAGTAAAAAAAAATAAACAGAAAGGAACGAAGTAACAACAAGGGAGGAAATTCCATTTTATCATCATAGGAGACAATAAATAAGTGCCATTTTTGGTGGGTTGGCAAAGTTACAGTGAAATATAATGTAAAATGAATGTGCAGGTTCCATCTGCACATTACTAAATTACTAAATAATTGGTCATTGTTGTGGCTGAAATGACATGGCTAAAATGTATTTAATAGCTATGATACTTTGGGGTCCTCTGGACTAGATAAAGCACGACATAAATACGGGCCATTTATCATTAAACGACATTTAACTAAAGTCCTAAAAGGGGTGCAGGTTTTAATGTTTTTATCTTTTTTAATCTTTTTCAAAATGTCTTTCTCTTTGTCACTGTTTTTTCAATGTCACATGCTGTTTTTATTTTAATTATGTAAAGCACTTTGAAATGCCTTGTTATATAAATGTGAAATGTGGTATACAAATGAAATTTGATTGATTGATTGATTGACTATGAATGGAGAGATAAATGAACTGATGGGTGGGTGAATGAAGTAGTTTGAAAATACAAGTATTTTCCCAAAGTCCACTTTCTTTACTGCACTCTTTATCCACTAGGATGTAATCGGTGGGGGGAAAAAAATAAAAGATGAGTTGTAAAGGTCTATGTGGGAACAGTTATAGGAAACATTTAGTATTTAAATGATTTTCACCAACTTAAAATCTGAAACATGATCTGAACTCCTATTTGTAAAAAAAAAAAACATAATAATAAAACTGTAACACACAAAACATGCACATAACACAATACATCACTGCCAGGATTTTAATAAAATCAAATCTCCTATTTGCAACTCGCCCCTGAAGTACACACCCCCAACTGATGAAATAAAACACAAACAAATACAGCATGGCTGTTTCAGTCACAAGGACAGTGGAAGAAACACTGAGGCTTTGTGCTACCCAGTGATGCATCTTCACCTCATATGACCCCGCCCCATTTTCAATTAAGGCCCTCTGAGGCTGGAAAATATTCTCAAATAAAATGGGAACAAAAACAAGTAGCCTTTAGGAAGCTCATCAATCACAGTTTAAAGACAAAAGCAAAAGAGGAGGGTGGAGCTGAGGAGACTTTGCCAAGTCTCGTCCTTCATCATCCATTATGAGAGGATGAACGGAGGGGGGAGGGGGTCTCTGCGGTCCACCAGAGAATGAAAAGGCTGACTGAAGCCAGAAAACAACCCGAAGCAGGTTAAAAATAGGGTCGCAAAGCAGCTCACCAGACACTGAAATTCAAAAATCATCTTCTCATATGAGCACATTTTTCATTTGCGCACACGCACACAGACGTTTACAAAAAAAAAAAAAAAAAAAAGAATACGTCTGTGAGAGACAGAGAGTGAGAGATTGTGTGAAAAAAAGCTAACACACCACAGTGAGCATCCGTCTTACCTGGATGAGTGATTCACTCAGTCTTTCCTCGTCTACCTCCAGCACAATGTCCCGGATCTCTTCATAAGGCAGGCGGAACGAGCCCAAGAAAATTGCTGTTTTGATGTAGAGAGAAGAGAGTCATTTCCTCACTTTTTTTTATTAGACTGCAGAGTTCACACTGACATTTTGGCACTCATCACTCCTCAGACAAAACGATCACAGACCATCCTTCCCATTTGGAAAAGCTGTGCTACCCTGACAAGAACCGCAAAGGAAAACATCAATATTCTCACCTGAGAGGAGTCAATTTTTGTTTATTCTTTATTTTTTTATTTTTTATTTTTTTACATGGGCAATCTAAAACAGAAACCCAATAAAAAACAAGAGCGACAGTTCTGGCCGCTCCTGAAAGCAACATGTTTTTGTTTGGGTGGATGCGAAAGGGGCGCGATGTATTTGCCTCAAGGGGAAGCCTGGTGGGTGTTTCACACTCCAGGTGGGGAGGGTAGACTGGAAATTGGAGCTGATGGCGTATCCAGGTGGAAGTCACAGGTGGAGCTTTAGTAATGAGTTGGAAGAGAGTCACTCAACAGCTGCCATACAACTGTAGCGGTGGGACCTGATGTCTGTCTCTGACAAGAAACTAGAAAAGCAGCATTTTTTTTTCCTTTCCGTTTTATCCCTCATAGTCATTTTTTTAAAATCTACTACTTTCTGTATTTATGAGCTTTTATTAGAACAAAAAACGTGCACGATGTTAACGCCGTGACTCCATGATGCCGTGTTCTGGCTGGTTAGATGCCATGACCGTGTTTGTGGGCTGTCACGTTGCACTTGTTGGACTATTTCCTGGTTTCTACGCCAATTGTTGCCAGAATGGGGAAAGTTTGTGGTGCAATCATGTTTCCAACACAGTTTTGATGCCAAGAAAAACTTACAGTATTTTTATTGTTTTTTAAAAGCATAAAAGATAGAGGATCACTATGAATTTATGGCAGGAATTGCAACCAGCGTTAGACTTTAAACATGGAAATTGCAAATTGGAAAAACCAGACAGGATGGAGGAATGGCAACTCAACCGAACGGTGTATTCATCCGTCTGACCATCTTTTCTGGTCTTCTTGTTGCAGGTTTTGTGTGCAAAGGCTTAACCTTGAAAGTATGAAATATGAAAAATGTGAAGAAAACCCTGATTGTGAGATGATGCGCTAGGTTCATATCCGGGTTGTTTTTTGCATTCATGCTACTGTGAGCATTTGCAAATGTTGTCACTGCACTTGTGTACGTTTTTTGACAGGGCTGATAGGTGTCAGTGCCAGGTCTGATTACCAAGCCGACAGAGGGGTCTCCAGTTTTGGCAGGAAGGAAAAAATAAGCGTTAAAGTTCCCACCTTCACAAAGGAAATGGGCGGGAATCTTGTTGTCGTACACAAACCACACAGCTCCCCCGAGTCGCCTTGACAAACACTACCGCAACATAAATCATTGTCATTGCCTACCGCTGAACCTGGCAAGCTCTCTTCTCAATTCTGATGTGAAGGTTCAGTGACTGGGATGGGTGGTGGGATAACGTGAGTGATTGTCAAGTCAGTGCCACTTTATGTATCATGGTAAAATGATTATGCATTCTGCTATCGGGTAAATTGTGTCCATCTGTCTCCAAAAGCCTTCCCTCAGCGCTGTCAGCAAGCTGCAGTGTGTGGCTGACTGGTGACAAGGCCCCAAATAGGACAAAATACACACACTGTTAACCATGAGAGTAGATTACTGTAATCAAAAATCGTTTTCTAAATGCTGAAGTACAGATCATCCCTACATGGTAGCGTTTCTGTCATCTTATAGATCTGTTCAGTTTTTGTTCCATTGTTTGCTCACATTTAAAAATTTCAGGTCACGAAACACATTTTAATATCCACTAATATAAAACAAACTGATTTTCATCTAGTATTTGCTATAACTAACAGGTAATCTTGTGCATCCGACTCTCCTTCCGGATATTTTTTTTTTTTTTTTTTTAATTTTAAAAAACATTTTTAATTACGTCTTTTAATCGGTAGTGTGGACATTAGTGTTGGATTCCTGTAAATTATAAGTTAAGTCAATTTAGTTTTTTTCTTTAAGCAGTAAGAATATACCAGAATGAAAATAAGCAGTTATTAAATTTTGAAAAGACGCAGCTTGGTGATTTTTAGAGTATAATATTTGTTGATTATTTTGTCTACATTTTTGCAAGAAATAAATGACATATCTTTCAAGGAGTCATGTTGGATGTGAGGATTGAAACAAACGATCCGTTTCCACCTAGAACCTATTTTTTAGGAGTATTTTTAAGAATCAGATTTAATCCCAAACTTTAAATGGGCTGCATCAACACTTACATTTTGCTTTTTGTGTGAGTGACTCATCTTCTACAAAACTCCAATGAGCGTAACTACATAAATGTGGTTATAGTTTTCATGAGAGGAAAGGGAATGAATTTCTTTATGCTGGACTCCTCCCCATTTGCAGATGTTTTTGTAGGTCATATCTAACAGTCAAAAGACAACGCTGCTTTGAAAGCTGAAAGATCAAGGGGCTATGCTACTTTACACGCCATTGGCTAGCATCTGCAAATCAGCCAATCCAGGAGCGCCATTTCTTTCCTTGGCACTGGTTGGCTGTTCCCTTATTATTTGAAATACGGGAAACTTTGAATGTTAGCTTGTGGTGTAGTCCTAAGGCAAATTCAACTGTGTGTATTAATGCATATTAGGGATATTTGGCGTTTAAACTCTTAGCAGCTATAAGCATTTTAATACAGGGTTTGAAGAATTTACGGATTTTGTCTATTCTTAAGAAATGAATAATGACATGCAAAGTGAAGTTTGGCAAATTAAAAAATTCTACATAAAAAGAATACACCATTTTACATTGCAGGGTTTGACACATGGAGTTTTTGTGCCTACTTCATTTTTTTAAAATACATTTTTCAACCTTGCTTAATAAATTACATGGTGGGCTGTGTGGTTAGATTAAAATTGTTTTATAACATGTAAAGACCAGATCCTTTACACTTCAAAAGCAAAATTGGGAGGTTTTTATTTTATTTTATTATCTTTCTTTTTTTATATATAACTTTATATTAGCATCCAGCATTAACTGAAAGCTTGCAGAAGTCTGCTTGGGCTTTAAACACCCACATGGAGCTCAAGCAGTCAAATCTGTTAAGAATTGCTTTGCATAATCTGACACACAAGGCTTGGAAAAAAGCTATATGCACTTAGTTTGACTGCTATATTATTGCCAAAAACATCTTCAGGTTCCCAGAAAGGGCTCAATAATTCACTATCCTAACACAGAGGGCGTTATTATAATAGTTTTTTTTTATTATTATTATTATTATTATCCCACCAGCAGCTGCCTTTTCCTGCTCGTGGGAATATAAACAGCTGCATTGTGGAAAAAAAAAAAAAAAAAAAAAAAAAACAACTGACCTTTTTGAGATGAAAGACGATTGTAAAGAACGCTGCATGAACCAAACAGAAATCTGAGGATACTTACAGAGGTTCTGCGCCGTTTTGGGATCCAGGATACGAAGTTCCTTTGCCTTCTTCTTGAACTGTGGCACTCGGTCATCGGTCTCATCAGTCACATCTTTTTTCACTGCAGTACAAAAAAAAAAAAAAAAGGTTAAAACAACTGGCCAGCTACATGATATGCAGTGGGTTGCAGCAAAGGTAATGTCTAGATGAAGTCTACTTACAGGTAACCTTTATACTAATTGACATATTATCAGTTGAATTGGACTGAATAGTTCCATAATTATGGTCGAATTGAACTGTGTGTAATTAATCAATCTACATGTCTGAATAGAATAAACATAAAAATGCTGAGCAGACAGACAAGATGAGATAGATTTCGTCACAAAGTACTTCAACTATCTGTTAGTTTTGATAATTGTCCTGTAGGATTAATGAAAACACAAAGTGCACTTTCTCTGAAAGTGCTTTACATGCAAGACCAATTAAAACAAAAACCTTTTTATTACAGAAATGTTTTTGAATCGACAGGTGTCCAGCAGACAGACGCAGCTGAAGATGCTTTTCACAGGGCGATGATGTATCTCAGCGTACGGACTCAACGTTTGGTCGACAGAAAAAGTGTGATAGAAAAGAAGTGCACAGGGAACTGGGACAACCTGCGCCCCGACAGGAATGCAAATAAAAGTTCACTCAAAGGTTTGGAGGAGATTTACAAAATGTGGAATGTGGTTACAGTCAGATGCATTTGGGAGATGAGGTACAAATATTTTGTAAAATAAAGTTCTCCTCGTCGTCACAACGGGATCACTGCCGGGGTGTGGAGTCTGTTTTGAAGAATTACATTTACTTCCAAAGTTTGATGAAAATAACCGTTTACCCCCTTCAAATCCAAGAAAACCGACAAAGTTCACCAATAATACAGTCCACAAAACTGCTTCAAAACTAAATAAACAGACTTGCCACACAGCCTGTCAGCACAAACTCTTCAGTATTTACCCTGAAATAACATCAAGTTTATCTAAAAGCTTACTTGTCCATGTAGACAGCGGCAGGACAACGTTTTAAAGCAGAATTACAGAACTGAGGAAAGTTTAATTTCCCACAATAAAGAAGGAGCGATATGAGAAAGAAGACTCCTTAGATCCTTCGTTCTCCCCTGACGGTTTCTGTGAGGAAGCACACTTTGTTGCTAATCATCACAACTGCTCTGTTTAAGCCCAAGGTGGGAGTCTCAGAGGAAATCTAGAACAAACAATCTGCTCCCTCAGTGCTGGCTTGCATATTTGAAGAAAGAATCAAAGAGGCAACATCTCCTGGGCACCTAGAAGAAGGAACGCTTAAGGCAGCTACCTAACTCTGCTGAGCACTGTCAACATATCACATCAGGGATGTACTTGTTTACAGTGTTAAGCAATGCTAAATTGCAAGTAGGTTTAAAATGATGAAAGATAGAATCACAGATGATTTTTTTTATTTATTTTTTTGTCAGAATGGTAAGATGCTCCTTCAGGAGCCCTCAAAACGTCAGGACCCCGACTTTAATCCAGATCTGACTGTAATGCGAGCTGCATGCTTTCCCTCTCCGACAAAAGCTACACAGGGAGAGGAGGGACACGAGAATCGAAATGTGTTTCAAGTAGATGTGGAAATCCAGGTTAATTATTAAATGTAGGAACAATGCAACCCACGTATTGCATGATTCATCGTGAGAGATGCGTGTCAAACCGTTTCTGCTGTTGTTGTCAAAGTTTATCAAAGGATCTATCCTTCGACCAAAATGAATCCAAAGTATGACATTTAAATATAAAAAAAGTTAAGTTAAAGTTGAACAATAGTTAGCCAGTAAAACATTCTGACTTAGGTAGATTGAAACAACACCGTGACTGAGCGAGCACACTAATCCATTGTGGAGACACTCCCTGCCAGTGGCCTCAGCATTCCCTCCTACACAGCCAAACTGCTCAGGAACAGCTTAAGGGAAATGGCAAAGGGCCAAGTGATTATCTGGCCTCTAAACATATCAGATTTCAATCCAAATCAACACCCACAGACTGCGTCAAAACAAGTTCTACCAACGAAAGCTGCATTCTGCGACCTGCAGGACCCAAAGGAGCTGCTGCCTAGGCTTGCTGCCAGATACCAACAGAGGTCCACTAAATCAACGGTTATGTTATGTCATTTTGACGGCGTGTTTCAACGCAGAAAACAATCTGCTTGCACAAAGGCACCTCAGAATAACAGGAGACCATTGAAAAATTCAGTTATTTCACTATTTCAACTCCTTAAACCAAAGGATAACAAAAAACCAGATCCTTAGAAATGCTGTGTTCTTGCAACATTATGACAATTATTTATATATTATACATATTACATTTATAAGCATTTAAGACCATAAAAAAAAGTCTTTTTTATGGTTTACACAATCGTAGGAAGACTACTGACTTCACAGTTGTCTTAACAGATGATTTCCACCAACCAGAAGGGAAAGTCACAAAATGTAATAGATGAAATTAGTTGTCCATTCACAGAATGTTGTATTCAAGCCGACTCCTAGAAAGTTGAGTGGAAGGAAAAAGAGTGCACAAGAAACAGGATTTGTATTAGAGGATCAGTAGATGCATACATGTGAAAGTGCCACCGTTCTCATTTACATTTAAACAGACAATTAATATCCAGCATTTGGATTTTTTTTTTTTTTTTTGCATTGCACTAAGAGGAAACCAAAACTGAGGACAGTTCATAGGTTCTTTAAGTTGCTTAGTTAGTTTTTGTTCAGCTGACCTCAAACTTTGTGATTTTGTAAAAGGTAAATGCTGCTGCGCACTTAATTTCTGTGCAGAGGGTCAAAGCAGGTCTGCAGTCTAACCAGTTGTGAAAGTTCTTTATTTTTACGGTGTGGAAAACGAAACACTAAAGGAAGAGATGTTTTTGGTTTGGTTAATAACTTGGACAGCAATGCGCTAAGCTTTTCATTTATGTTTGACAGCGTGACAGTGTGCGGTTAAACAAAGTTTGTACTGTTTCATGTGTATTTTTCAATCAAATTAGATTGTAACACAGAAGGTGCATTATGACCTTATAATACCTGACAGTATTAGGTATTTAAAAAAATAAAATATCAGCAGCTTAGGCTTTTTGAATATCGGCATGAAAACTGCAATTGGTGCACTTCCCTCAGAAACAAGTAAAATATTACAGTAACTTTAAATTTCTCACATTTACTAAACGACTAAGCACTAATAACCCCCTTGATTTGGAATCAAAATAAAACTTGTTTTGTGATTACCCTAAACAATCTAAAGTCGAGCTAAAAGGGGGAAATTCAGCTCCTTTTAATAACAAATTATTATCTACATTCTCTATTATCCATTTACTGTACAGCAACTTTAATCTCTCATGATGATACTTTACATTCTCACCAGGGTGCTCTCAGTATTCTGCTGTTCGCCCTTGCCTGAAGGCCCCCATGCTGCACATAGTTAAGGAGAGTGCCTTTAAAACCCATAATGAACCATTATTTATGATGCTAACCTACACATCTCAGAGCTCTCCTGCTGGGAGCTGAACAATTGGCATCAGAAGGCTGGCCGCCGCTAAAGTTTTCTGCCGGTTGACTCAATTATGCCACGAGTCACATGTGTTTCCTCTGAGTGCTGCATGTGGACTGATGGGCCCTGGAGGGCTTGCACACATTTCAAGCTGCCACACTAGTCAGAGTCCCAGGTGTGTGGAGAGGATGAATATAGGTGGCATATACCCAGATGGCTGGCCACAACAAAAAAGCTTTTAAAGTTTTAGAAATGAAAACAAAACACAGAAGTTTGCAGGCAGTTGCTACAAATCCTCTACTCAGGAGAAAGTTTTTCTTTTTAGTAGAAATAGAACTTTGGAAATGCTTTTTTTTAAGGCTTCTTCAGTCCTAAAAGGCTTAACCCGAATGACATCGTAGGTCCGCAACAGCTGACTGAAGTCCTTGCCAATATTAAGACGTGTTCTTCTAGTCGTCCAAAGGCTGAAATGTAATACTGTGAAAACAATGCTGTCCCTCATATTTGTTAGCAGAATCTCTCCAGCAGTCACACAATGGAGACACACTTGAGTCTGGAAAAATCTGGGAACCTTGTGTCCAACAAAGCCTTTTAGGATGAATTTATTATTTATCAGACACAAACAAAATGATTGGAAATGCCGATTGAAAAGAAAAGGAAAGCTGATGCATCCAGTTCACAGCACAAACAACACTGGGCTTACATGAAAGACTGAAGCAATATTTGAAACGCGAACACATATTTTTTTTTGTTTTCACAAATGGATACAAGTTTTTCTATTGGCATGGGTATTTATCGTCGTGTTCATTTCTTGAACTTTATTTTTTTTTGTCTTGCACTTGTGTAAAGTCTTTAACCAGATCTTTTTATTTCTAAAGACATAAAGTCAAAAATATTTTTGGAAAGAGAAATGCAATAATAAAACAGCAAGTCGTAGTTTTAGAGTCAGGGTGATGTGTTTTAAGAAATGGAAAGAAAAAAGTTCTCTATTGAAAAAAAAAAAAAAAAAACTTAAAAATACGTGAAGAAAAGCTTCTGGTGAGCATAAATGTTACACATTTTATTATCTGGGGGGGTTAAAGATTGGTCTGTGCCAAGGGGAGTCACCAAATTGTTAAATTGTAATGAAAACACAGATGAATGCTTGACAGGAAAAAAAAAAAAAAAACAATTTTGGCTTATTAAGGACGATTTGGTATTCATCTCTGTGGGCCTTGGATTGAGGTACACCCATGGGAAACTCTATGATAACAAGAGTTCTCCAACACTTGGACATCCAGTCTGTTTGCTGGCCCAGATTCCTTATCCTGGTCGCCTTCCATGAGATATCTCCCTCAAGACGTCCATAAAACCCAGGGCATTAGGAAGCTAAACACTACCACATGTTCACTTCCGGACACAGACTCCTCGGCTGAGCCCCGCCACCAGGCACCAGAAAATGAACAGGCCTTGAAAAGAAATAACAGAAAACTGCAGATGACAGGTCTTCAACTAACATATTTAAAGGCAAAGGAACACAGAGTGGAACAGACAATGTGGAGTCTGGCTTCTTCGAAGCAATTTATTCCTTCAA